GTCCGCAGACATACCGCTGTGTCACTGGAGGGCACCACAGTATGAACCCGGTAAATTCATAGTTTATAACGCATTATATTAGACTGATCTAATAACGACAAAAATCGAAAAATGGTACAATAACCTTTCCTGTAGCAAACAGAATGAAAAAAATATAGGTAGGATACCATTCTAAAAAAAACAAGAGACAAATATCTATAATTCTATCACTCTTCAGTCAAGCCATCCTTGCCAACGGTTCATGTTCATAATATATTTACATACTTAACGTCTGCAAATCATGGTATTTGGCTAGTTAACAACTTGTTAAGAAAGTAATACATGGAAATATTTTAAACTTGATTGCCTTCTAATGTTAACTACATAAATTCTGATTTCAGTAAAACGTGATTTAGCATATTCCGTGCATTAAAAGTCACATATTTAACAAACAATACGCTCATGAGACACTCAGTATAAAACAAAATCTGTATAGGGAAGAAAACTCCAAAGATATCTCCTTTTCATAAACTTTATTGATCAGAAAAATATTATAAAGAAGAAAAAAGAAGAAAATTAACCTCTTTTTTTTTTTGTCAAAAATATCAGGGCAAACATAGTGTAAATAAATAATAAAAGAACGAGATCCTAGCTAATTAAGTATACACACACACACACACACTAGAGAGTTTAGTTGACTTGCGTACCAGATTGGGAATCCGAAGGTCTATGGTTAGCTTTACGTCGCAAAATTGCGCGTCGCATTTAGGCCGTGAGTGTGTTATAAGAATGACAATCAAGTCCCAATATTCGATTAGAGTATCTCAACAGTAAGTGGTGGGTGTGTTGATAAGATGTTTTTCCTTTCATTTATCGTCATATAATTTGGGGCAGATAGCGCAGAAAATGGAACATCATTCCAGAAGAAATTAATAAATGTATGAGAGTTTTTTATGGTTGTTTTTGTACAGTAAAAACACTGAGAAGTGGAGATTAATTTAGCGCGAGAGATGGATACGTGCTTCGAAGATATAAACAAACAAACAAATCGATTTTAAATATTTTATATTGTAATACGTTGCCTAAAAATAACTATACAAACACTGCCTGAAGTTGTTTTTTTTTATCAATATAGTAAATTTGTGTGGCCGAATGAACTGTAATTCTCATAAATATACTTTATTAAATAGATCCGTTATGCATTTTCACGCTAGCCATACGTTAATCTCATCACAATAGTACTTGAAAATGCACAAATTGTGTTTTTCTGTTGTTTGTTTTTTAGGGGTGGGAGGGTTAAACTTTTATACATTCCTCCAAAGAGCTAGTTGTTCTTTCCTTCTAAGTTATAACGGTTTGAATATCTTCGTCTTGAGTTCTGAGTTTAGGTTATTTATAAACGTTTGTTTGTTTTCAATTGCGCGCAAAGCTACACGAAGGCTATCAGCGCTAGCCATCCCTAATTTAGCAGTGAAAGATTAGAGGGAAGGCAGCTAGTCATCAACACTCACCGCCATGTCTTGTGTTACTCTTCTACTAACGAGTAGTGGGACTGGTCGTCACATTATAACGCCCCCACGGCTGAAAGGGCGAGCATGTTTAGTGGGAGGAGGATGTTTCTTTATAGATACCTGAACCCGAGTGGCTGTTTTGATATATCTTTAGGCTTTATTTGTTTTTTGTTTGTAATTAAGCACAAAACTATACAATGGGCTATCTGTGCTCTGCCCACCACGGGTATCAAAACCCGGATTCTAGCGTTTTAAGTCCGTAGACATACCGCTGTGCCACTGGGGGGGGGGGGCATCTTTAGGCTATAGAACCATTCGTGTTGATTATGTAGATGTATATACATTACTCTATTTACATGTATTATAATAGTAATCAGCTGGAAAACACAAACTACAAATTTACTGTACACTTTCATGTTCCTCGAAGCGTTAGGAACTAGTTAAGTTTTAAAGTTGTACAGCAAAACGGACAAAGATACGTATGTAGTTTTTGTACAACACCGCATGGCATTTCAATGACTGAAAAATACCTAATTTAGTAAGTCTGACTGAATACCCTCCAGTGGCACAGCGGTGGGTCTGCGGACTTACAACGCAAGAAACCGGGTTTCGATACCCGTGGTGGGCAGAGGACAGATAACCCATTGCGTAGCTTTGTGCTTAACAAACAAACGTGAAAGGAAAAAAAAATCTACTGATTAAATACATAATTTGTTTGTCTTTGTGAAGCACAAAGTCGAGCAAATGACCATTTGCGTTGTTCCCGCTGTAGGAATCGAACCTAAAAAATTAGCTTTATAAGATCTCAAGCTTACTGCAGAGGCACGGGAGGGGGTTATATAGTTAAAACCCATGAAAATGAAACTAAGGGAAAAATGGAGGTGTAAATTCAATTCTCTCAGTGTTCCATCAAAATATTTTTTTACCGATACACAGGAAGACCTGTTGTGTAACTTTGCGATTAACAACAATAAACAAAAAAACTGTATCGACCCTGTAAGATTTATCTTTAATAATATACGTCTCAGAGAAATTTTAGTTATGGGTAAATAAATTTTTAATCTGTTTTTATACAAAATGTCAAACACCTCATTGAGCCTAAAACTCTTTTTTTTTCTTTTCTAGTTTTAGTAAGTGTTTAAGCAGCGAGGTAAATATGACAAACACAGAAGGTTCTAAACTTGCCGTTGGAGAAGAAGGCAGTGGGACAAACGAGAAAATTAAGGTTTGTACATCGTAAACAGTTAAGTTCAAGTATGGCTATTGTAACGGATTTACTGTCCAAAATCTATTTTAATGTTGATGTTTGTTTAAGTTAATATTATGTGTAGAACTGTGCATAACTTATGTATTGCGAAATTCCCGCCTATTCACTAAAATTGTAGAAAATTCTCGAGTGTAAGAATCAACAATATATGTGTGCACGTAAACACTAGTGTATCGTTTATATTGTTGCGTGAGCTGAAATTTCGAGAAATTCTCCTCACTCCTATAAATATAACCAACGTGATCCAAAAGACAGTACATATATTATTGGTTTGCTATAAACCTCCGAAGCTGTAACTGTGATTGTTATAACGCTTATTAATCGGGAACTTCAGATATTTGACCAGGAACGTTTATAGATTTCGAATATTGCAAACCATTTAACTTCAGCGGATTCACATCGGAAATTAGTATTTTTACGAAAACATTACATAATTTCAGCGGTGGATAAATCGGCGTGTGGCCGGCGAAGAAAACAGAGCTATCTAGCTCCCTGTTAAGTGAATTGTATCTACATCTACTCAAAATTAATTCCCTGATCGTGAACCCTCGATAAGTTTTCAAGGAAGTTCCTAACCAGATAGAGAACTAAATATTGTTTGTAAAACTTTTGTACATAGAACATTATTTGTAATAACTGTTATTGTAAATTGTGTTATTGTTTGTATATTAAAATATATTTGTATTAAAAACTGTGTATCAATCTTGTTGGCATGTATTATAAATTGGAGACATTTATTTAATTTCTAAATCTAAGTTACAATTTAACTCAGTTTCAGGCTATTCGAAATTAAAATACGTTAATTATATACGTTATTATAATGGTCTCACGTTTTTGAAAAAATGAAACTAATAAACAGCAGTTATGGTGAAAATACGAGTATGTAATGGTGTAATGGTCGAAGTTTTTGAAACTAATGTAATTAATAAACCGCAGTTATGGGGAAAATAACAAAATAAATACAGATGTTCAATTATTTCAAAGAACAAACAAAAGATGGCATTTTATTTAACACATCAAACTATGACAGAACTGAGCATTTTACTCAACACTTCAAAATATGACAGAACTGGGCATTTTACTCAACATAATAAACAAAAACAAAAGTACATAGTAGAAAGGATTTTGTGTTAATTTTTTTAATGAAGGATTTTGGCCTTAAACTTTGGTGAACTTATTACCTTCTGTTTGAGTTAGCTTATTTCTTCATGTTTATTTTTTTCAGTGTGGCCTTAAACAATTCTAAATAAACTTAATAAACAATGCGTTCACAAGCCAGAATTAAAAATTGTCTAAAATAACCTGAACTTAAAGTCATTAAATACTCACCTTTCTTGCTTGATAAATATAGTGATTAGATATGTATGTTTGAGGCCCTTAGCTGAGCCATCATCGATAAGGCTTATAACACTAAAACGGGTTTCGATACCCGTGGTGGGCAGAGCACAGATAGCCCATTGTGTAGCTTTGTGCTTGATTACAAACAAACCTTCATCAGCAAACAACACCAAAATAAAGTACAATAATTCCGTAGCCTCACCAGATCTGACCAAAGCCGATCTATTTGCATATTATTTCACATCAGTATTCAAAACCCCAGACATCCCTTCATTTGATCAAGAGCACCAAAACAAAGTCAACAACTTTATCTTTAATAATGATGACATATTCAAACCAAGATTCCATATATCACAAAACCCCGATATCAATTCAGATCCCTCACATAATGTTATAACACGTCCCATTACGTGCGCTGAAATTAAAATACACATTAAAAAAAAAAACACAACAACAACAAAAAAACACTGCCCCAGGCGAGGACTCTGTTTCAAATGAGTATGATAGGGTTTTGTTGAACCGAGCTCTGGTTTGTCTTTTATTAAGAAAACTTGATGTCCAGCGTATTATTGTGCGTAGGATGTTAAGTTGGTGAAACTTAAATAATAAACCACACACTATCGAAACCTTTTTTTTATATCCAGAAATGCTGATACTGTCATGTGTTTACGATTGAATGCTTGAAATATTGTTTCTGTTTTCTGTTAGTCTAACTAGGTGGTCTGTGGTCTGTATGTCAGTGATGATATTGTTGGTCTGTAATTGGCTGGATTTTGCAGATCAGTGGTTGATTTCGGGATAACAATGATGATTGCACATTTTCAGTATTTAGGGAATACCCTGTTTTCAGTGATAGGTTGTACAGAGTGGTCAGATATGCTAAGTACTTGTCCGGGGGGTTTTAATTACTATGTTTTTAGAAGTTTGAGCTTTCTTAGTTGCAGTAAGTGGGTCTCTTGACGTGCTCCAAATAGCTACGTCATCTGCGTATTGAGAGGCGTGAGTAATGCGAGTTTTGGAAATGGTATGTCATTCACGTAGATTATATAGAGAATTGGGCTAATAGCGGAACCCTGCGGGACATCTGCCTGTAGTTCTAAATTATATAACATCATGGTGTAACAAGTGGCGTGTTGTATTAAATCCAGTCAAAACACGCGCCAAAAAAAAAATACTAACTCAAACAAGACTAACGCTACTAGGCTCTGATATTAAAATTCACTAAAATTGTTAAATCTCTTGGCATTACTTTTAATAGATCGCTAAACTGGACAGAGCACTTTAAAAAAGTACGCAAATCAGTTAGTCAACGAATCATGTATCTAAAGAAAATAGAAAGCATTCATAAAGGCTGTGCGCCTGACTCCAATCTCACTATCTACACATCATACATTAGACCACTCATTGAATATGGCTGCATGATTACATGCAACATTGTCAAATGATCTACTGATAAAACTTGAATCATTACAATATTAAATAATCCGAACAGCTTTGCGTTACCGAAATATACCCCATCTAGCTATCTAGATTCACTTAACATTATACCCAGCCTTAAAGAAATAATGAAAAAAACTAGCTAAAAATATTATCAGATAACCAATACAAGAAACACGCAAACACAACAACTTGCAACACTAGCCGCAACACCTAACACATGGCGCACCCACCAGTTACCATATTACACATGCAATCATTAATATGTAGTGTAATAATCATCTAAGCCTTTCCTCTCCATTCAGATTCCTAACTCAGGCACTACCCAGATAGTATATTCGGTGCCCGGATAGTGAAAGTGGGTTTCTCTCGGAGTACTCCCGTTTTCCACCCACATCAAAAATTTGGGGTATTGGATCTATAGATCCCCACCCGTTGATTTTGTGTGATAGCTCACCCGGGTGCCGCCTTCGGTTCTCTTGCTTTTGCTTGCCTGACATTCAAGATGACAAATCAAATGCGCAAGTCTTTTTTTTTTTCACGAAGTTTTTCTAATTCTTAATATGTCTAATGAGAATGAAGATGAACTTTTCTGAACATCCCTGATTGCGTTCAGTCCTAAACTCCAAATTTGGGATTGAACGTTTGAAATCAAATTTACTACCACGTTGTTTGATTTGGTTTGGATGCTCGTGGCGAGGACAGCACAGATAGCCCATTGTGTAGCTCTGCGCTTAACAACAAACAAACAAAGTGTATGTTGTGCAGGTATGGTGCTTAATTGATAACTTATATTCCATGCATCTTCATTTTACTCAGTAAAATAACTGCAGAAACGTCTCAGAAGTTTTTACAAGCACGTGGTTGTAGTTTACTGAAGTACTTTCATTTCCAGCGTCGAAACATGATGAAGAACTATATAACTCTGATGAAGTTGTCGTTCTTAATCACATAAAGGCGCCTAACTGTAATGCATTTTGAACCATTAAACCAGAACAAGAGTGATTCGGAATACATCATTATTTAAAAATGTGTCAAAATAAGAAATAGGAATCATGTTGAAAATAAAATCTATTTGATTCGTGTTTTTGTTTTTATTGTTTTCAGCTGCAAAGTGATGCATTCTTTAACGAACTGGCAAAACGAGTTAGCCTGAAACAGGTCCTACCGTCTGAAGTAGGTGTTATTCTCCATCTCAGCGTTCTCAAGGATAACCAGATGGCGGCTAGATGGAGTAAGCAAATCTTTGTGTAAAATATTTGGAGTAAACTGAGGAAGAAAATTACCCAAAATAGTTAGAGTTATGCAAACAGTAGTTCTTGTTAAAGTCAAATTGGGTTAATAGTAATGATGTGTATAGATAGATGTTGTTTCTGATTCTATTACTATGGATTGAAGACCAATAAATTAAATATTCAGTTAATGACACTATAAACACGAATATTTATGATAATATATTTTCTAAGGTGGATTAAAATATATATTTTTTGCTCATTTTTACACTTCTTGGTAGAGTAACAGGTTGTGAAAAAAACAGAGAGAAAGGAGTAACACACGTAGCAAAATAATGCAAATTCTACTACATGGCAACAATTGGGGGTATAAAAAATAAATTTGCTGTAGGTTAAATGAGGTCTATTGCAATTTTTGGAATAAGAGTGTGCGGTTACAGAGTATAATTTATACAAAAACAAAATAAATAAATGTGTCGTATAGAACCTACATAAAAACAGCTAAAAGGCCTTGTAACACACTAGAGATCTATAGATAAACGAGATATGCAAGTGCATTTATTCGTGAGTATCTTAATGGCATTAAAACTATATAAATGAAAGATGTTTAGAGCTTCGGACAAAAATTAACGAGGCCGAATTAATGATTCTTTTCAAGGTGAAATCTCAATATATACATTTATAACTACGGAAAATAATCAAAAACAGGAATGGAGAAAAATATGCACTGCACAATCACACATACACACATGACGAAAGTAACGTGCAGAGAAGGGAGGCTAGCTTTTCTGGACTCTTGGTAGGAAAAGGTAACAAAAAAAAACTTGTTATATCACACTGTAAAACAAGCGCACCTTAGAATCTATGTTTAAAAAACACAAAGAAAAGTATATGCAATATTTAATTGTGTAACTTAATTGGCTCGGTACCCGTCCTGCACGCTTCAAACCTGTTTTCTAGAAAAGGTATGACAATGATACTTTCTTTATTTTACACCGTTAAAGGATATGTAGTAGTCCATAGGTCTGTGGATAAACAAGATATGCAAATACATTTATATGTGACTAATCTAAGGGCATTAAAAGTATATAAACTGAAGGTGATCATTGTTCAGAACCTCGGGCACAAATGATCAAAATCTGTCCATAATGTTCACGTGTGAAACTGAGGCTAATAATACTTTCTTGCTGTTTTGGATTCTCTAGTAAACTATAGTTCTAATAACACTCTCTTGTTTTTTGGATTATGCAGTCAACCATGGTTCTAATAAAGCTATCTTGCTTTCTTGGATTCTCTAGTCAACCATGGTTCTAATAACACTCTCTTGTTGTTTTGGATTATGCAGTCAACCATGGTTCTAATAAAGCTATCTTGCTTTCTTGGATTCTCTAGTCAACCATGGTTCTAATAACACTCTCTTGTTATTTTGGATTATGCAGTCAACCATGGTTCTAATAAAGCTATCTTGCTTTCTTGGATTCTCTAGTCAACCATGGTTCTAATGATTTCTCTTCACCTATCTATCATAAAAAGACGTTTAACAGACTTTTTAAAACTTGTTTTGACAGCTTTATACCATTTTCTTTCAAATGAAACCTTAAAATATGCTTACTGACTACAGTATACAGTCACTCGTCATCTTATCCTTCACAGACAGATATTTCCTTCCTGCTAAATATTCTACATCGAAACGGCTACCCAAAGTCACCAACTCATCCCTAACTACTGAGGTTAGTAACAAACCTAGAACTTAACACATAATCTCTTTTTTTTTACATTTGTTTACCATGTCCTAATAAGCAAAGCACCATTATCAAGAAACAACTGAAAATACTAATTAACCGTTCAGCCCACAAGCTGATTTAAAAGTTATTTTTAAACGCAGCTTTAGACTGAAAAAAATATTTTCAACTGTATGGACTTCATGCCAGTTTTTAATTGTTCACGACTCCTTTACTAACGTGCATGCGAAGACTTTAAAGCTTCTTATATTGGTGAGAAATACCCCAGATTAAAATACCTGAACACATGGGAGTTTCGATCAAAACAGGAAATAACAGCTTTCCTCACTTTGCCATTCGTGAACATAAACCAGAGATTTTATCATCTTTGTCAGACTCCGAAATCATCTCTGCCTCTAAATTACAAATGGAGATTTTGATTAAAAAGACACAATATATTAAAACTATTTTTCTTTCTCTCAACGGTACCCAGTTATCAGTAGACAAAAAGCCTATTCTAATGTGATTTGTTTATGTACAAAGTATTTTTTGTTTTCGTTTTGTATTTATATTTTTCTTTGTATGCATAATTTCTTTACTGGATACTTGCTAATGTTAGTATTATAATTATTTCCTGTAGCTTACTGAAGATGGAATCTATGACATTCCGAAACGTTTAATTATATATGCTTTTTGTAATTACGTTCCTGTTATATTTTGTAATGTGTGAATTTTGTTTTTAAACATATTTAATCAAGATCGTGTCATTTGTTTAATAGTTGTAGTACAATTAAACCAAAATAAAAACTTACACCATAAACAAAAGGTAATTGATAAAAAGATTTTTTAATGTAGCACAATGTTTCAGTACAGGGATACTTTACCTTCTGGTGATTTCTAAACCCCCAATAGGTCTAGCTATAGCTGGCCCAGCATGGACAGGTGTAGGGT